TAGCTGGGATTACAGGTTCCTGCCACCACATCTGGCTAATTTTTGTTTTTTAAGTAGGTTTCACCATGTTGGCCAGGCTGGTCTCAAACTCCTGACCTCAAGTGATCTGCCCACCTCAGCCTCCCAAAGTGCTGGGATTACAGGTGTAAGCCACTGCACCCCGCTGGAAACAGATGATTTTTTAAATTGTCTCTAGAATTTGCCTTTTTACAAAATGACACATGGTTTGAATCATAGAGTATGTGGCTTCCTCAATAGACATTAAAGGTCATGCCATGTAGGTCCATGGTGCCAGCACCTTGCTCGTGAACATCCCAGCCTCCACAACTGTGAGAAGGAAAAATCTGCTGTTTAAACCACGTAGCCCATGGTATTGGGTTTTCTGTTGTTGTTGTTGTTTTTGTTTTTCCTGGAGACAGGGTCTCGCTGTGTTGCCCAGGAAATCAGCCTATAATCTGGGATCACTGACTTGCTGCTGAAAAATCCAGATGGAAAAAAGGCGGGGCTTTCCTGCTGGCTTCAGTCTGGAGATCTGACTCCAGCTTCTGCTGGGCACGAGGCGGGCGTGGTGGAAGGAGCAGCTTTTGCAGGTAAAGAACCGTGGCCTCATTGTACAGTCCCTGGAGCAGCCATGTCCTTCTAGGTAGGTGCGTTTGTGTGCATGGGGCTCTGGGGGTCTGCGTGGGTGTCGTGTGGTGTGACTGTGAATGTGAGTTGGAGTGTGTGGGCGGGAGTGTGTCTCCTCTGGGGATGTGTCCCACCTACAGAGCACAGGTGCCGCGTCAACATTCTCCAAGGGAACCCCACCGCCACTGTGTGCTTTCCACACATGGACCGTTCATGGCTCACCACAGCCTTGCCCAGGGGTTCGCTTTCCAGCCGCATAAAATGAGGCACAGAGAATGACCCACGCTCCTGAGCTTCTCTGTGAAAGAGCTGCAGGGTGAGCGGTGGGGGGTCATGTGGAAGCTCAGCACGACTGGGTGGCATTCATCACTCAGCAGCGGGCTCACTGGTAAGAGTGCAGGGGTGATCCACCCCCATGCCTGTGCCTGGAAATACCTGGGCATGCGGAGTTCCAAGACACCACCCAGGTTAAAAGGCGGCCGCTGTGCTCACATGGCCCAGGTGTCTGTCCATATATCACAGATTTGCACCCAGCCATTAGCCTAAAAAGCCCCAGTCATGGAAACAATAGAAGGGTGGCGTTGGAGAGTGAAAAAAATGAGGAAGATGATGAAAGGGCACAAAGTTTCGGTGATGTGATGAGTATGTTCTGGAGACCTGGCACACAGCATGGTGACCACAGTTCATAGTGATGAACTGCACGCTTGAGATCTGTGAGAACGTGCACCTCGGTATCCTCACCACACACACAAATGGCAACAATGTGAAGCGATGGGTACATTCATTAGCTTGATGGTGTCATCATTTCACATTGTTTGCACATATCAGAACTTCACATTGTACACTTTATATATACACATTTTAAAATTTTTCAATTATGTCTCAATAAAGCCAGGAAAAAAATCCTCAGAAATATTCGAATTCTGTGAGCTACCCACGAACACTGATGAATTAGAACCGGCAGGACCCCTGGTGGTCAGTGAGGCCCATCAGCCTGGTTGAAGCTCCCTGGTGTAGCTGAGTTAGAGCAGCAGCTCCTGGCCCACACCTCCCTCTGGAAGGAGCTGCCCTTCCTGCCTGTGTGAGCAGGAGTGCCCATGACCAAGGAGCACACAGGTGGGATGGAAACGCAAGCCTGCGAGCAGAGCTATCGCATGGGAAACAGCGGGTATTTTTAAATGACCTGACATTGTATTTTCAAAATATCTGTAACTGATTATCTTGAAGAAATAGGCTTAGTGAATAAATATAATACAATGTTTTCTGGGGAATAAGACCCAGGACCCCAAAGAAAGGTTGCTTTCCATCAGTCACAAAACCTTATGTGACAAAGGAGAAATGCACTGGCGGCATATGCAGGTCCCTGAAGGCTGAGGTGGTCTAGGGAGATGTCAGGGAGATACTGGCAATTCAGCGGCAGTTCAACGTGGCGGGAGAGGTGGGGGCGCTCTTGTTGCATCACGGTGTAGAGTTGGGCACTGGGGAGATTGAGCATTTCCTGTTTTTTTTTTTTTTTTTTTTTTTGAGATGGAGTCTCGCTCTCTCGCCCAGGCTGGAGTGCAGTGGTGCCATCTCCATTCACTGCAAACTCTGCCTCCCGGGTTCACGCCATTCTCCTGCCTCAGCCTCCCCAGTAGCTGGGACTACAGGCATCCGCCACCATGCCTGGCTACTTTTTTATATTTTTAGTAGAGACGGGGTTTCACCGTGTTAGTCAGGATGGTCTCGATCTCCTGACCTCGTGATCCGCCCACCTCGGCCTCCCAAACTGTTGGGATTACAGGCTTGGGCCTCCACTCCTGGCCCATTTCCTGTTGATTTAGGTGGCCTCTAGCTCCACAGCTGAGGACTCTGAGCCTCGTCCCAGTCCTGCTCCTCTTTTCTAAGCCTCTTCCACCCAGGAGGATGGCCCAGCAGCAGCTGAGCCCATGTGACAAACCCACCACGACCATGCATGCCAGTGCTGCGTCCATCTCAAGCTAGGGCCCCGAGTCATCCAGAAGCAACACTGCCAATACACTGCCAGCCAGCCACTCTGTCCTTCTGGCCTGCTGAGAGGCTGCTGGAGGAAGAGTCCCACCTCACAGCAAGGAAAGATTGCTTGTTTTTGTCCAAAATAGACACGATGCTTGATTGTTTCATTTCATTTCAAATTGGTTCATATATGAAAATCTGGCAATATACGTAGTATGTGATACCCACCGTTTCCTGACAAGACAGAGTCAATCATAAATGGCAGCCTCAGCTTATAAACAAACTGCCTGGGAGAGGGCCTGTCCTCAGCACCTGTACTTCTTCTGGGACTGAGAATTTTCCAATTGCCGCCAAAATAGACTTGGGAGACCCATCCTCCAGGGAAAGCTCCTGCACGTCCTGCAGGTGTCCTCACACTCACTGCGGGGTTTTGACCCAAACACAATTTCCCATCTGTTTTTCTAAAGCAACCAAGAGAACAAAAGACCTTTTCCAACAGCACACAACATCACCTGAACCTCAGTTTGCTGTTCTGTGATTATGATACAGAAGTGCTGGGAAGGGAAGAACGTGGTCCCTTTAAATGATATGGAAAGGGGGAAGGAAAGTGCTGGGGAGAGGAGGATGAGGTCCCTGGCTAGGGCTCCACCCCTGCAGACCTAGGTGAGGACAGGCACTCCTGCCTTCGTGCCCAAATGTTGCATTTTCCAAGACCACCCTGGCCTGCTACGTCCCCATCCTGTGCCTAGAAAAAATCTGAGACTCTAGCAGGCACACACACACAAGCGGCTGGACATCGAGAAGAGCAGATGGGGCAAAAGAAGACACAGAGGCAGCTGGACGCTGAGAGAAGCATATCGGTGGAGGAACACACAGGGGGCTGGACGTCAAGAGGAATGCACTGGAGGCACCCGCACGCGGGCAGGCCACATACAGAAGCAGAATGATGTGGAGTTTGGCCAGGGTGGTTAGAGAAGAGTCCCACAACTGGAGAAAAGTCAGGCTGCCAATGGCCCGACTCCAGGGGAAAACCACCTCCCTTCTGGCTCCCCGATCTGCTGAGAGCTACTTCCACTCAGTAAAAGCTCGCACTCACACTCCAAGCCCACGTGTGATCCTATTCTTCCGGTACACCAAGGCAAGAGACCCCAGAATACAGAAAGCCCTCTGTCCTTGTGACAAGGTAGAAGGTCTAACTGAGCTGTTTAACATAAGCTGCCTATAGACGTCAAACTAAAAGAGCAAACAGTAGCACACGCCAACTGGGCCTTCAGCCATAAACATCCACCCCTAGACACTGTCGTGGGGTCAGAGCCACTCAACCTGCCCATCTCTATGCTCCCCTAGAGGTTTGAGCAGCTGCGCACTAAAGAGGCAAAACCGCACCCCCATCGCACACCTTGCGAAGGAGACAAGGGAACCTTTCCGGTTTCAATTACAGATCATCCCAAGAGTGAGTGAAAATGGGGCATGTTCTGGAATCAGTCACTTGTTGAGAAAAAGTCAAGGCGACTTTTTCTTTGCTTTTGGCTTTAGTTGGAAAAGCCTCCTTGATTTTGGGTTCCTGTTGGGGGTGAGGATCAGGGAAGTGGTAACTGAAGTTGATTTTCCAGATAAACAGTGATGGCCATGTTTCAGGGAGCAGCTGTACTTGCCTTCGGATGGTGGGAGGCTGGTGTACGGGGCAGTGCTGTGTGTGTGAATGTGTCTGCTGTTCTCCGAATGTGCCCGTGTAGTAGTCCCTGGATTCATTTCCTCTAGCAGCACAGCCACTACTGTCAGTTTCCAGATGAAAAACTGCAATCTCCACGATTGCAAGTATATACCTATTAGGAGATATATTTAACATTTATCCAATTTTACACTTCATACGTGTGCAGTTCATGACACTCCAGGCTGTGGCACAGGGCCAGGGGAGACGAGGGTGGGCTCCTGGGGACAGCGAGGTGTTCCCTCCCCTCTGCTGCTGCTTCCCTAATTTTCCAACACAGGGTTTGCAGGGCCATGCTCTTCACTCTGCTTACAAGATGCCCCCAGCTGTGAACCCCTCTAGGACTTGGATGTGACCCACTGTTTAGCCCCCACTAGGGCCTCACAGAGTGGGCAGTACTTGTGCCTGTGCACAGGAAGTGCCTATTAGATGAAAGGTAACACTTGTCCATTGATAGCTGCTCTGCAAGGAAAAACCAGGGGAGGGGAGGTGATGTCTCCCGCATCTCTGGATCCCCAGCGCTACGCTCTCCAGGGTGGAACTCATTAGCCAGGGGTGTCTATTTAATTTTTTTAAAATGTACTATCTAGTCTTTCATCATACTAGGCACATTTCCAGTGCCCAGTAGCTCTGCACCCAATGCAGAGAGAACATTTCCATCCACACAGAACAGTCTCGCAGCAACAGCTCTGACCTGGCACAGGGTCTGTTTATTGGATCACAGACCTGAAGCCTGCCCATTGCGGTTGGAGCCCCACATTGATAAGGCTGGCGATGAGAGCTGTAATGATCCGGAGGACAGGGGAGAGGCAGGTTGAAAGGGGGGGGGTCCTCTCTAGATGTGAAAGTTTGCAAATGTGAGCAGTGACTTGTTGAAGGCCTCTGACTCCAGAGAGCCCAGGTAAGTTCTGAGAAGGCAGAGGACGGAGCAGGGAGTTGCTGTGGGAGCCGGCGTGGCCTCTCCTGCAGCAGGGAGGCCGGTAAGCTCCTCTGGGTAACACCTTTCTTGCTGGTTTGTGTCTCCAGAGTTTGACTGGCCACAGGAGACAGGATTCCAGCGACAATGAAGACACTCCAGGTAGATGTGCACGCTGGAGAGAGGGCGCCACAAAGAGGCTTCCCAGGGGCAACCCAGCCAGGCCTGCTGCTTCAGAGATGGAGGAGGAAGAGGGGGATGAAATCAGAAAAGAAGGAAATATGTGTAATTTGTAAAATGTTAATGATACAATTTAAAAAGCGATTATGCCTGTGGCCTCTGAGTGTCAGGTTTGTCATCTTTTCTTGATTTGCTTCTCAATCATTATCTTTCCCACATGACCTGTTCTTTTCTGCCTCTGCCACCACCAAATATGAAACACTAGGGTTTTGTCGGTTATCATCGCTTGAGAATCAAGCATAGAGCTATTGGGCTGGGTTTTGGTGCTGGCCTGCACTGCAGGATATCCACGGGCACAGCTCTCTCCCAGACACTAGAACCTGGAGATCCAGCTTTCCCAGTGTGCGTCAGGTGGGGGTTGGACGTGGACCTCTCCCATCTGCATTCCCAGGTCTCATAGCAGCAACTTGGTGTTTCTGTCCCCTCTGCTCACTTCTAGTTTAACAACACTCCTGCGGTCGTGGAACTTCAAGAATCAGCCTCAGTGTGGAGCAGTCATAGCAAACTCAGCCCCTTCTATGATGACCTCTAGAGCTGGGCCGGCCCCTCCAAGTCCTGAAGTGGGTGGGGGGCTCGGCCTTCATCACTGCACACAACTTGGCCATGGAATGCAGGCTGTTTCTGGAAGAGCAATTGTGAGTGACCCCTAATCCAGCTGCAAGACCCATAAGTCATCTCAGATGACACTGGTTGACCAGTAACAGCATTTGGGAAAGCATGTTCAGACCTGAAGAGCCATTGTGATGGACACCGTCACTTCCACTAATGTCCACCCCTTGCACTGCCTAGACACACTCATTTCATGGAGTAGTTTCTCCAGGAATCTCTTTGGCCTTTTTTCCCCAGAAAAAAAAAAAAAAATTGTCAAGAGGGTGTCAGTGGAAAGAGCCACAGGCCCTGCTGGTCTCCAGCTGTAACTGACGCTCACTGCCCTCCTCCCCCACTGCCCTTCAAGCTGCCCCTGCCAGACACTGAATGTGTGTCCACAAAGCCATGTGTGGACATCCTAACCCCCAGTGTGATGGCCTCAGGAAGCACAGTCTCTGTGCAGAGATTAGGTCATAACGACTGAGCCCCGCCAAAGAGCCTCCTGTAGCTTCTCCCACGCCCACCCTGCAAGGACACAGCAGAAAGACAGCGGCCCATGAAGGAGGAAGCTGCCCTCATCCAGCATGGCCTCACCCACTATCTCCATGTTGGACTTCCCAGTGTAAGTAAATTTCTGTTGTGTGCGCGCCATCTAGTTTACGGAATTTTACAACAGCACCCTGCATCGACCATCTGCGTCACTGTGGAGAGACTCGCTGTGTCACAGAGCACAATAACACCCGGCCTCCTGCTTGGGCTGGGCTGCGTGATGAGAGGGCAGCCTTGTTGCCAAGCAGGGAGCCTAAAATCAGACAGGGACCCTGGGCCCCGGTTCCTGGTGTCACCTATGAGACCCTGGGCTGACAGATTAGATTGGGCTTCTGGTGGATGCAGTGGGCAGAGTGACTGGTGATGACGGTCCCAGCAGTCCAGCCACAGGGGAGTGTGACCAGCCCTCCAGGAGCTGTGGATAGTGACGCTTCCTGAGTTACCACAGCCTGGGAGGTCGCTCCTGAAAACAGATGTGAGACCAAAAGTTCAGGAGAGGAGACCGGGCAGGAAGGCTCAGTGTTGCCTGCCCTCCCCCAGCACAGAAGCTCCCCTGAGCTGTGCAAGCATCCAGGACCATGAGCAGGAGAGGAGCCCGGCCATGGTATAGACGGCCCATCACAGTGCTGTTCTAGACCTGCTCCCGCAGGGCCACACCCAGCTCCCAGGGTCACACCAGCTCCCTGCAGGGTAGGAGCTTCCAGACAGAGGAGCTCCCCTCTAGGGGACTCACAGGACAGTCTCTGCTACTGAGTTGCTGCACATCAGCCACCACGAGCTCATAGTACCCGGGCCTGGAGCTTTCCCAGCTGTCCTGGCTCTGCAGAGCCCGGCCCGAAGTGCCTGCTGGGGTCCCAGGTGCTGTACCTGCTCCTGCAGGTCTCTCCTGTTCCCGGTGAGCACCACACAGGCCAGCGTGGAGGACTCAGGAAGACGAGCAGCAGCAACGCAGGCAGAACCACGAGGGACTGCCCAGGGAGAAGTGGGAAGGGAGCCACACGGCCCCTTGGCCAGAGAATCTGTGCAAACGTTGAATAAGCATATGACATGTATCGAGCAGTTTGAGTCTAAAATGGAAAATTAAGTCATCATGCTCTCTCATTACGCAAACACAATGATGGCCCGGAGGGAGTCGAGCGGCAGGAAGAACTCTTGACAGGACACAGACAACTACACCTCTGAGATCTGCTGCCAGGAACACAACCGCTTTGCAAATGCGTGCTCACTCTTCCCAATGTAAGATATTACATTCTGCTGTTAGTGAATTGCCCAAGAGAAACAAAAATGTGTGTCTACACAATGACTTATAGAGGAAGGGATATTGCAGGATTGTTCATAATGGGTTAGGCTGGAAACAACCTAAGTGACTGCCAGTAGGTGAATAAATGAAAGTATGTCCACAAAATGGAGCCCTGCACAGCATCACAAGACACATGACATGAGTGGATCGCAAAGCTGTTGTGCTGAGTGCTAGAAGGTGGGTACAACAGAGGACATGGTACATGTTCCTACCAAGATGAAATCCTACCCAAGAGAAATCTAATCTATAGTGACAGAAAGGAAATTCCTAGTGCTTAGGGCCAGGGTTGGTGAGACAGTCACTGAAATTTGGCATGAGAGATGTTAATGGGTGATAGTAACAGTCTGTATGTTCATTGTGGAGCTGCTGAAAGATTCCCCCCCACACACACATACATACACACACACTCTCACATACATGTTTATCCATTTTTACATATTAGTCATTTCTCATAAGCTGTGCTCTTAATATGGACGCATGTGATTTTATATAAATCCTACCTCCATAACATTGATTTAAACATAGAATAGTACTACTGTGCTGAAGATGAAATTAAAATGCATCCTATTTTTTCAAAAAACTATTTCTTGAACAGAGAATATTGATATTGATGGAAAATATGGTTAACAAGATGGAAAAACAGTGGAACAACAACGCCTCCTGTCTTGTGGTGCATGCAATCTAAGATATTTTTCTAAAATGCCTTTGACATTTGCAGTCATCAGTCCTGGGCTCTAGTCCTGCAGAGTGGACGTCCTGGACTTGCTGGCCAAGGAAGCCAAGAGGAACAGCCTCTTCTGACCTTCAGAGCCATCCTACCCATGGAATCATGAAATCCAGATGGAAGGAGCCCGAGTAGAGTGGAAGACTCAGGGTGGAAAGAAGACATTTTATGGATCGCTGATGGAGTAGAAAGGTAAAACATGCCAGCCTGAGAGGATGCTAGAGTTTCCAGGACTGAGCAATGGGATGAGGCTTGTCTCTGGGGTGGGCACAGCTGTGACCCCTGCTCCTGTGTCCAGCCTGTGCAGGATGGAGAAACTGTCCATTCACCCACCCCAAGGCTAAAGAAATGATTTTCTATTACCCCAAGGGCAACTGCAGTTACAAGTTTCCATCAAAGCAGCCCATGGTTGAATCATGGAGAGGTGGAGAAAAGAGGGGATGACATTTCAGGAATATTAGGCCTTGTACCCTGGGTTGGGGTGGAAGAACTTCTCAGCAGAGGTGCAGCCTGGCTGGAGTGGGGGCAGCCCCGCCCTGACAGTGAGGGGAATTCAGGTCTTCCATTCCCATGGCCTTGAGCACCGTGTGATCGGCACTGAGGCTGCTGTCCCGGGTCAACGTCATCGTCCACCTCCTGCACTTACTGCAGCCCAGAGCAGCTCTGGGAGGCTGAGCTGCTGACTGGGAGCCGAGGCCTGCCCTGGGATTCAGAGCAGGCTCGTCCCAGCAGAGAAGATGTTGAGGCATTTCCCGGGTGGCCCTGGAGCAGGACCCCAGTTAATCGGGATGTGGCGGGTGTTCTCTGCGGGTGTAGATTCTGCCTCCTGGAGGTTCAGCCCTGACGACCGCTGGGTCAGCACAGGCTGAGACCTGACCTCTGGAGGGATACAGAAGCTGGAAACTGCAGAGTCCAGAATAATGTGTGCACAGAGAGGAGAGGGGTGTGTGGGGACGAGAGAAAGAAGAAGGGAGGAATGACCATGCCCCTGTGGCCTCTGGGAGTCGCTCCCTCCAAGGCAGGGTGTGAGTGACCTCCATTCCTCCCAGCAGCTCCCCACACCCAGGGGGCAGCTCTCCATGCAAATCCAGCCCTGGACTGGTTCTCTGCGAGACCTGTCTTGGAGCAGTTTATGTTTTAGGTAGGGAGGAGGAATGCAGAGCAGATGAGCCAAATGTTAACGATTCCACTTCCTCAGAGTGCCAGGCCACACAGTGACAGACACCATCCACTGTCTTTCCTGCAGGTCTGGGCTGGAGGCACAAGACCCACAGCTGCGGGGACTTCAGGTCTCAGGAAGCTCAGGGCATGGGAAAACCACACAGACCCACCTTCCTGCTCCCCGTACCACAGCCATGCCCACTGTGCCGTGCCATCACAGATATCTCTCAGTAGGTGACCAGGAGAGATTCTCACTCGTGCAAGGGACTTCCCAGGCCTGAGCCAAATGGTTTGCGTGGCTGAGGTACTGTCCTGGGAGTTCTAGGGAAACTGATTCTGGAGCTAAAAAATAATGACACGCTGCGCTGAGAGACGCCGCCCACCCTCCACCTGCTGAGGACTTCAGCTCTCACCTCGTGTAGAGCCTGAGGCCACTCCCAGGGAGGTTAATTAATTAATTGGAAAGGAGCCAAAAAGAAAGAAAAAAGAAAAATAATAAGGAAAAAAAATGCATCAACAGCCTCCATTTGCAAACACTCTCGGGCTGGATGAATGCAGCATTTTTAGGAAATGAGCAATAATTTACTGTCTTGTTAAAGAGACTGACCAAGGGTGCGGAGCAGAGAGCCGGGCCATGGGGCTGAGAGGAGGAGGAAGGCTGTGAAGGGCTGTGTGCTGCTCTGATGCCTGGAGATGGTCCTTCCTAGAGAGGAGTCTCTGGAGAAGGGAACCCACAGCAGGAACAGGGTCACGTGTCTCTAAATCCTCACGTGGAGCTGGGTTAAGACCCGAGAGCCCCTGGGCGGGGCATGGTGGCTCACGCCTATAATTCTAGCACTTTGGAAGGCCAAAGTGGACGGATCACGATGCCAGGAGATCGAGACCATCCCGGCTAACACGGTGAAACCCCGTCTCTACTAAAAACACAGAAAATTAGCCGGGCATGGTGACAGGCGCCTGTAGTCCCAGCTACCCTGGAGGCTGAGGCAGGAGAAAGGCGTCATCCCAGGAGGAGAAGCTCGCCGTGAGCCAAGATCGCGCCACTGCACTCCAGCCTAGGCAACAGCGAGACTCCGTCTCCAAGAAAAAAAAAAAAGACCCGAGAGCCCCCAGGAGAGACGGAGAGGCCTGAGGAATGCAGTGACTGTGGAGAGAAGAGGGTGGCGGCTCTGGGGGATGTTACCTGTGGGGGTGGTTAGAGGCCGTGTCCACCTCACTGTAGTCAGATTGAAAAGAGGAAAGTGTGTCCATGTGCAGGGTGAGTGTCGATATGTCAGCCCTGGGCGCATCACTAGAGATACCAGGCTCACTCTGTGTGCCATCAGATGCTGGACCCAAGTGTGGATGGACTTGGTTGTATCCATCAGGATTTCCAGGCACAGAAAACAGTTTTGACTCCTATGAGTTTAATCCAGACCCTAGTGGGCTGTGCATTGGGCTCTATTGACTCATCTGTCTTTGCCTTCCCAAGATGGCAGAGCCTGCCTTGTGTTAAGGTACCACCTGTTCACTTCTCTCTCTCCTGCTCATGGGCATGTCTTACTAAGTGGCAGGCGGCTCCTCCAGGGGCCCCACAGAAGCTTCTTAGTGGGAAGATGCTCACGGTCAAGGTCTCCAGGCCCAGGGGTTTTGTCTTACATGCTACTTATCCGAAGATGGCAAGGAGCTAAAGCAACTTCCACTGCCATGAGTAGGAGCACAGTGAAAATCAGATTTAGCACAGAGCCCTGCTGTTTGCCTGAGTCTGGGCTGTATCTTAGGAGAAATCAGGGAGGTTTCCTAACATATTGTATAGTCACCAACATGGAAGCCACTGCTCAGGGTGCAGGTTAGCCTGAGATGCCCCCGGGGATGCAGAGGTGGGGTGGGGGCGGCGAGTCACCACAGGGTGCAGGTGAGCCTGAGATGCCCCCAGGTACGCAGAGGTGAGTTGGGGGTGAGGAGGCTGCCTGAGTCAGCTCAGGGTGCAGGTGAGCGTGGCAGATGCCCCAGGCATGCACAGGTGGAGGGTGGCCGAGTCAGCACAGGCTGGGAGAGGGAGGTTGCAGGCAGAGACAATGGTGAATGTGGGCACCCACCAGTGTAATGCTCATGGAGTCTGAGGCAGAGGAGCTGACACAAGCTGGAAACTGAAGCCTGGCGTCCAAGGCCTGCCCCAACCTATGCAGTGAGAAAGGAGCACAAGGAGTCCAGGATGTGGTGGACTCAGCCCCCGATCCCACCATGGGGCTGCAATGCCCAGGCCTCCTTTTCTTCCACCCTCTCCAGAGAAGAAGCTGCTTCTGCAAACTGTTTCCGTCTGAGACTGCCCAGCCCTCCCTGAGTCCTGGGGCTGGGGGCTGGGATCACACTGCAGACCCAGGATGGGGAAGGTTTGCTTTATCTGTTAAGGGAGCCTTGGGAAGAAGCACCTGCCAAGACCATGCAAAGGTCTCTGCTCAGAGACTCTGCTGGGCCAGAGAGGACTCGGCGGCCCCGAGGCCCTGGCTCCTTACTGAGCAGCTGTGTGGGGACCACAGGGCTGTCCCCCCCGTGCCTCTCCTGGTCACAGGACACACACTCCATCATGGTACAGAGATCTGACAGCCTAGTTGGTCTCTGCCATTCACCAGTCGCTGTCTGCTCGCACATCCACAGTTCCACTCCCAAGCATGGACCTTGCCTTCAGTAGTCAACTCAGAAACCCCAGACACCATTTTCCATGCCAACTGGCCTGCCCACCACCCAGAAAAGCCCTGGACACTGTGCCATGTGGTTGGCCCCACACTGGGCCAGGCCTCCATGAGGATAAGGAAACATGGGAGGCAGGAGGTCGGGGCCCTGCCCTGGGGAGGGAGAAGGATGGGACACAGGCTGTGGTCACTGAGCAGAAGAGACGGAATGAGCAGAGGATGCTGCCAGGCGCTGAGTATAAGGAATCATGTAGCTGAAGGTGTTCATCTGACATATACCAGAAACTAACACAAAATAAGAAAATAAACAAAACCAAACAATCCAACAGAACTTGGGCAAAGAACCGATAGACATTTCTGAAAAGACAGGAAATGAAGTAACAGATAAAGGAAAAGGTTGCCCACATCACTAATCATCACAAAAATGTAAACCAAAGCCATACTAAGACAGTGTCCCCATCCACATGAATGTTGCCAAAAGCAAAAACAGAATTTTTAACAGGCAATCACCAGCATGGATCTGCAGGCAGGGAACCTCTTAGACACTATGGGTGGCAATGGAAATTGGTGTACACACTACGAGCAATAGTCGGCAGTTCCTCCTCCGACTAAAAATACAACCACTACGTCATCCAGCAATCTCACCACTGGGAAATACAAAGTACATGGATGTATTATGTTCCCTGATTACAAATGACATAGAAGAGCTACAGTGATCCAAACAATATGGTATTGGCATTAACACAAAAATACAGAACAACAGATACAATGAGGAAGTCAAATACCAAACCCAAATTCATATATGATAGACACATTTTAAAAAGATACACCCAGGGGATGGGAGACTCTGGGCTGCCTTTGGTCGGGCTGCAGAAGTGTCCTGGGGGGACCTGCAGCCGCCTATCAACTGGGCTCTGGATGGTTTCTACTCCATGAGGATTTCCAGAGTATTCCTCAGCCACCGTCAGAGTCAGGAGGGCTTCAATGGGGCTGCGACCATCTGTCCCAGCCTTTCCTGTCTCCATGACACACCGCGTGATCTACGTATACTGCAATATGTAGGTGCGTGTACTGAAAGCGTACAGTTAAGATGACTTGCAACCGATGCTACTCTAAGTCTTCCAGAGATTTTTCAGATATCCCCAGACCAAAACAAACTAGTGACATTTCATGGTTTTGCAAACCTGAACCAACAACTGCACAGAAACAGCTCCCTATGCACCATCAGACACTCCCCAGACCTGCCCCTCACTCACAAATGTAACACAGGAGCATGAACCCAGGCAGTCTTCACTCCTAAGGGCCACTTAACAACCTCTATCGGTCAGGAAGCCTTTGATCTGGGCCAGGATGCTGAACCACAGGGGTGAATTGTGCCTCTAATGCTGAGTAATGCTTCCCCTCACTGGACTAACCCACACCCTTGCACCAAGAAGGGCCCCCAGGGAAACTGCTGACATCCAGGAGCCCACGTGGAATGTTCCAGCAACCTGGATGGCCTCAGCTACCTCTAGTACCAACCTTTTCCTCTGTGGGGCTCCCTTCCTGGCTTTTTCTCATGCAAACCAATCTAAAGTTGCTGAGATGTCCTGCTCCCTCAGCCTCCCGGGTCACCCTGATGGCATAGGCATGTATCTGCACTCAAGTATGAGGTACCCATAGAACGAATTCCCTGGTGTGGGGGACAATGCGTGGGACCTCCACCCAGCCAGCTCCAGATAAAATCCAGCTCTGACACAGCTCAAAGACTGTGTGGTGGACCTGGAGAGACGCTGTGGGCCTGTGTCCTCTTCTGGCTCACTGGATTCTTTGGAGGATGACTGAGACGCTGGGCTTAAAGCTCTCAGCCTAGGGCCCAGAATGCCACACGGAATCAAATCAGCGTGACCAGGGGCCGAAGTCCTCTCCTTAGCTGGAAATGGGGGATCAGGGTTGCAGAGACAAGGGGCACAGAGCGATGCCTGTGCCATCAGAGAAGGGACAGGGGATCTGGTCCACCCTGGGCTCCTTAACCTGAGCGTGAGGCCTTGCTGGACCCTGAGCTCACCTCCCCATCGGGAGTCCATTGTGACTGCAGTCCAGTGGGGTCAATGTCTGCCCTGATGCTGGAAACAAGTCCTGAGAGATGCGGAGGGCATCCTGTAGAGGCAGGCAGTCTGGGTGGTCCACAGGTGTGCACTTCAGCAGGTCCTGGTAAGGGATGAGGTGGTGAATTCGGGGCCGTCTGTTTGGGGCTTAATGAGAAGCTCCTGAGCAATGCTCAGTTCTCACCAAAAGAATTCAAAGGGCAGGCCCTCAGGGACCCACACTCTTGCCAGCAAAACCTGAACTGAAAATTAGAATCGGAGCAGCAGGGTTGACTCTAAAAGGGCCCGGCTCGCTTTTCTCCCAGCTGCAGTCATTACTCTTTTCCTCTGGCAGAGGGAGCTAGATGGACGCTCATCTCACCAAGCAGCTGGGAGAGACACACCTCTACCCACCCTGCAGCTGCTCCAAGGATCCTGGAGACCAAAAGACAGGGGTTGGGGAAGCAGGATGTTCCTGCCTGCACCAAGAGAGCAATTGACCAAAAGCCAAGCTCAGTAGCTAAGCTCTATTGAGGCCCTGGCCCTGTCGGCATGGTTACCACAGGTCAAGGAAAGCATACTCAGGGCCCAGGATCCCTCTGCCCAACTTTTCAAATGGTCTGTTCTCAGTGACTCTGGTGCCCTCCCACCCTGGGCTCACTCTTCTGAGAAACCCCTAAGCTCTCTCTGGCCCTTCAGGGGCCTTAACACCCATGTGTAGGACCAGGATGCTCTGAGTGACTTACTTGGTCAAGGGGCTGGTACAGCAGAGCTGTTGGGGATGGCAGAGAGGAAAAGGACAATGATATACAAAGAACCACTCAACATCTCAGAGACCAGCTTTGTCCTCCACCTGCCGTGCTCCCCACGTCAACACCTGCTTTCAGGAAGCCAAAGTGGGTCCACAGCAGCCTCCACCTCTGTCCTCACTCCCAGGGTAGACCAAGCAGCAAGAACAAGTGACACACAGCCCTGATGACCCTGTCCCCTTCCTACCCATGTCTACTTTCCCACCAGACCTGGCTTCTTCGAGGGCTGCCCCAGTCCTGTCCAGGCCTTACCTGGCTCAGAACAGATGATCCCCTGCACCTCCCAACCTGAATCACACAGCTACACCCAGCACATGCTACAGAGGCCCAGCACACTCTGGGTCACATCCAGAAACTCCACAATAGGGGAGGAGACATGCTGTTTCCCAGGAAGGGCAGCTCCCCAGGCCTGGTCATACTCAGACTCCTCCAGTCAAAGGCCGGGCACAGCCAGCTGGGATCGCCATGCTTCACTCTGACCCACACGACTGACCTTGCCTCCTCTATGGAGAGACCCCTGCATACAACCTCAAACCCAGACATAACAAAACGGGAGAGGCTATCCAGCTAGGGAGGCCAGCCAGATCTCCACACAAAGGCTCTGCTCTTAAGAAAGAGGCAGACTTAGGGGCAAAAGTTTCCTGAAGCAACTCAGGTCAGGCCTCACATACAAGAGCCCCCAAGAGACTGCCAAGCCACCAGCTCAGCCAGCCAAGAACCCAGGGCCACATCCTTCTGAGACCCAGACACCAAGTGAGGATCTCTGGGATTCAGCAGGAACAGGTGGACGTGACAGGTGGCGGACCAATACTTCCCAACACTCTTCCAGCAAGCAGCTGTAAGTCACCCCTCCCAAGGAGTCACTCCGCTTCGGTCCCGCACCTGGATGCCTCTGTCCACGGAGTCATGATCTTTGGCCTCCTGCCACAGGGGCAGTGGGAGACAGGATGGTGGCCTGGGAAGAAGGATCTTAGACTGGGTGTCCCATACGACTAGATTGTGACAGATCCCACAGCCAACACTCATGCCCCAGTCAGCCCCCAAACCCAAAAACTTTCCAAAGCCCTTAATATAAATAGCCTGTGCACTGCTAAGCAGACACTTCAGGGAACAATCTGCTAGCTGTGAAGAAGATGCAGTCTCAACAGGGTTCCACGAGCCTTCTGCAAGCAAAGCCTTCTTTGCTTGGATGCCCAGTAAAAGCACTAGGGAAACTCTTAAAAGATAAAGGGACACAGGCACAGTAGTGCAGGTGTGTAAATTGAGCACTGTGGGAGGCAGAGGCAGGAGAATAGCTTGAGAATAGGACTTTAAAAGACCAGCTGGGGAGGAATAGTGAGACCCCATCTCTGCAAAACACAACAATTAGCATGGCATGGTGGTGCAGGCCCATAGTCCCAGCAACTTGGGAGGCTGAGAAGAGAGGATTTCTTGAGCCTGGGAGGTCAAGGTTGCAATGTCCACGATCATGCCACTGGGCTACAACCCAGGCAACAGTGCAAGATCCTGTTATGATCAATCAAACAAACAAAACACCAAAGATGCCTGTCTCCTGCCCCATCAAATAAACGCAAATCTCTGCAGAGTGAAACAGGGTATTAACATTTTTAAATTTTGCCTTTGCTGAAGTAAACGTATAGTGATGGCTGAAAAGCAATGCGTTATGTAAATACACTTCCTATGACTTATTTGTAGCCCTTTCATATCTAGGAATTTCTACAGACCATCTCTGTTGGCTTCGGAAGCCAGAATGGGCAGGGCCAGGTGTGAGGTGTCCTAGGACACTGAGGGTAGAGCACAGCTCCCAGCTCAGGGCACCCATGTCTGAGGCTAAGGCACCCAACTGGAGCTCAGCCTGTCTTCAGAGGGGAAATCACACCTCAGAACCCCAGAGACCCAAAAGAAAGCTCGAGTTCCGCAGATACCTGCCAGTGGGCCCTGGATTGGCTGCCCCAGGGAAAACTGCCATTGCACTGTCAGCTCCCTCCAGCCCTCTCTCAGGTCCCAGCAGGAGTTGGTTTCCCACTAAGCTCAGAGGTCTCAATAAATGGCATGTGGAACCTCAGAGGAGTTATTAAGAGGTCTACAGTTACCTCAAGACTCCACCTGACTAGGGCCAAAAATGAGTTCAAGGAGGGCAGCCAGGAAGAAAGCAGGGCAGAGAGGAAACACAGGGAGAGGGGGCCCTGGGACCACGACAGATATGGAGGGAACTAGGGGAACGAGAGCAGCCCTGATAATTGTGCTCCCCACAGCCCCTGCATGTCTCTGTCCCCTGGGAATTCAGGGTGAGGAGCTCACTCTTGCCGCTCACCTGTTCCTGGGCTCTGGCAGGCTGGCCTGCTTCCTGCCCCAGCCTCACCCACTCGCCGCACTCCTCACCAGTGCTGTGGGCAAGCTGATCTCTCTGGTTTGCTGGCCTCTCACTCTCTGCCCAATGGCACTAAGTTAACTTCTTTGCATGCTTTATATTCTGTGATTAAAAAGGGAAGCAATTCTCACTAACACCATTTCTCAAGAGGAGAAAACAGGCACAGGGATGTTCTATGACTTCCTCACGATCACCAAGCTACAAGTGGGAGCGGGGCTTTGCATAGAGGTCTACCCATGCTCCTAAACTTGAGCCGTCCTCCAAGGAAAGGACAGTACCTGTAAAAGCTCAGTAAATGGGGCGGGATTGTCCTCACTAGGGCCTGACCAGGCTGGTACCCTGATATCCAACTTCCAGCCTCTAGAACTGGGAGAAATACAAATCTGTTTTGATGAGCTCCCCAGGCGACAGCTCTTTGCTGTAATAGCCTGAACTGTCCCAGAAGTGCTATTCCATCATCTGTGTCATATTCCATCATTCAGAAGGGAGTCATGAACCCCTCAGTGCTGTCTTTGTGGATACTGCCCACCCAAGGCTGAGATGAGGCACAGGGTCTGGGTCTAAATAAAACGAGAAGGCACTGGAAGGTGCAATGTCAGAGCAGGAGGATGTCTGAATTTCATTTAATCTCAACCTCTACTGGTGCAGCATGAAAGATGAGGCAGAACAAAAGTGGATTTTCTGAGAACACACTGTGGACACCAGATCCACTGGAGTTGTATTCCATGCTACCTCTCACCCCTTCTTGTAGTTCTTCCATCTCGAAGTGTATGCTGTATCTACAAGGACCACCACACCATGAGTCTTTAAGATCCATCTCAAACACACCTCATGAGTCCCCAGGAAGGAGATGCTAGCATAAACCCCATTGTGCAAGCTGGGGAGGCCCCAAATCACCAAATGAGTTCTCTAGGGTCTCACAACTGCTAAGATAAAGGTTTTTTGACCCAGCACTGGCTCCTCAAACCTGGGACCCCAGTTATATCCTAGTCTTCTCTTCCCAAGGTGCTGAAGGAGCACACTTTTGCATAATGGTGAACAGGTAAGGAGTTGACGGGGGAGGGTGAGCGGCCAGAAACCCAGAGGGGCCTTTGAGTAGGTCTTATGGAAAGGAGGAGCTTACAGGATGGAAACTACAAGATGTGACCTCACTTCCTTACTGACAGATCCCCAACAGAACTTAGAATTCTGGTAACTAGGCACCCATATTATACACACAGCCCCATTTCCAGCTCACTTGGTAGGCGACGCTCGGCAGAACAACATGTTCTCCTGTTGTGTCCCGACATGCTGCCGACCTTCTCGTCGCAGAAGAGGCCAAAACGAGACTCTTTCCCGAGAATATAGACATTGGTTCAACCCTCACCCTCGACGCCTCTGGCCCTTTGCCTGAAGGCACCCACAGGTAACACAGGGCCTAGGGCAGGCCCATCCACTCCAGGCCTCAGCTCTGCCCATCAGGGCAGTGCCGAGCCCCTCCCGATGTATTTGGGGGAAACAGGAGATGAGGGGCCCTCCCTGGACAGGAGCAGGTAGGTTGTCAGGTGTTTGGAGCCTGGTAGATATGTCAGGTTCACCGCCCAGACCATGCCTGGCAGGATGGGAAGGTGAGTGTCGAAGACACAGTTTGTCTGCTCAGATCTGAATCCCAAGCTTCATCTGCCAGAAACCTCAACCTTCTCTGGCTGGGAGGTCTATGCAGATGCTCCCATGTCCCAAATCTTGAGGAAGGGGGAGGCAGGGAGGAGTTTTAATGGGCACGTCCCACTGTGGGGTCAGCCAGGCAGGCCACTGACACCTCTTGGCCTGGCTCTTGGGCACTCTCTTTGCAGAGCTCCACACAGCAGATCAAGCAGGAGCTGCTGGATGGATTCCATTTCTCCATCTTCTTTAAAGGACAGGTGCACCATGCCACCAACAACGGCCAGTGCTGGTCTGGGGTGAGATTGGGCACAGAACGGTCTCCATAGACAGGGACTCCAGAAAACCAGGGTGGGCTGAAGACTCAAACATGAATATGGGGACTCCCTAACCTCTAGGGCTTTCACACTTGAGTGACCCACTGTCCTCTCCCAAAGAAATCTGGCTGCCATCAGTCCCCAGTGGCAACTTGGTTACAGGCAAAGTCCCTCTCGCCTATCAGAGGAAGATCAGAGAAAATCCATCTGTTTTCACTTTATGCTATGCCAGGAGTATCTCAGCATGTTGCCACAAGAATTGAGTACAGTGATAACACTACAGCAACACACTCATATTGTTATCATTTTAACTCCCCACCCTAAGTGGACCTCCGGCAACAGGCAGCTCCACTGCCCTGCCAGACCTCCTCTAGGATTTAAAATCCAACACTTTTACACAAGCAAGGGGGGCAATGGGGGGGGCAGGGCATTGATTACAACAAAAGAAGGTGAAGCTACTCTACGTATCTGTCTTTAAAGTGTCATCTCACAGAACTCATCCCTGCAGGCCCATCACGCAGGAGCTGCACCCTCACATGTCACTGTAATATTCCTTAAGGGAGGCTGTGCTCCACAGCGGGTCAGCCTCTCAGTGCTGGTGGAGGCTGTCATGATAAAATTCCCTTTCTAGGCAGCCTTTCTGCAGGGAGCATAATCCCATGTGTGTCCTAATAGGCTGCAGCAGTTTCCCAGGGCTGCCATAACATGCCACACAGACTGAAGGGCTTAATCACAGAAATTCGGTTCCTCACAATTCTGGAGACTGGAAGTCCAACATCAAGCTGTCAGACTGAGGTCGTTTGTCTGGGCCTTCCTCCTTGCCTTGGAGATGGCTGACTTCTATCTCAGTCAGCACAGGGTC